ACGTATGATTATTTGGCATTTTATTGATGTTGACTAAATCCGACCATTCCACCGTCGAAATGGCGAACTTTTGGAAAAAAATTTCGTTTTTCCTCAATAACTCCTAAACCCTTGGAGATACGGGAAAATTGCATAGGACCTTTCTTGTAGAGGACATCGAGATCTACAATTTCTGTATAGAAACTTTTTGCTAGCATCAATATTTAGCGAGTTATTGACGAAAAACGAAAAAACAGTTTTTTGCAAATTACTTGTAAACTATTGATGTTAGCGAAATGTTTTTATACAGAAATTGTAGATCTCGTCGTCCTCTACAAAAAAGGTCTCTTGCAATTTTCCCGTATCTTCAACGGTTTGAAAGTTATTGGCAAAAAACGAAAATTTCGCGAAATCTGAAGGGGTACCCCTTGGAAAAATCTCGGAAAAATCGAAAATTTTTTTTTTGTTGTTTATTATTAGCAATGTTCTTCCGACGTCTGATTTCTTTTTAAAAAACGCGTTTCTAAAGTGCATAAACTTTTGGGATTGACTGTAGAGCCAATACATCCTTAAACGACGTTCGACGTGAAATTTTTACGTCCCGCGAACTTGTTTTACGCGTATGTTTTAAACATTTCGTACGAATTTTTATCGCGCAATAAACCCGGCGAAACAATGCCGGGGCATATCAGTGGATAGTTTAAAAGTGAAGCTGGCAAACTGTTGAAAACGGCTGTTGAGCCAGCGGAATGCGTTTAATTAGTGGGTTTTAATGAAATTCAAAGGATCGCGGGTAACAGTGAAATATTCCTGAGGAATGTGTGTGCTCGGTCGAATAAGGAGAAGGTGGCTTTCGAAAAGCCACTCGAAATCTGCAAAGAGAAAAGCGCACCTGGAGGATACCGGAGAGGCAAAAAGGACCGCGGGATAACCACGAGAGATGCCACGTTAAAGGGAAATCTAATGCATTTAAATAAGACTCCCAGAATGAAAAAATTAGGTTTAACCCGACGGAGTCATATCGTACGTGACTGTTCTAATAAACAGAAATGAAACCCAAGAACGAATTACTGTTTCTTTGTTACAAAAAAATTCTATCTCGTACGTCTATCGTGTTATTGATTAAAAAATACTGGACGTTTCTCATATTAAACTCGAGGGAAGTTCGTGAACGGAGGCTAAAAGAAACTGTGGACCTAATAGACGGACCGATATGAAGTTTTGAAACGAGATCGTCGCTTATCGATTCGCCACCGACGGGTGGTCGTAGAGCGAATGGGTTGAGGGGCCGGAAGCCACGAAATCTTGTCGGATTAAGAACGAGATGTAGCAGCAGCAGCAGCAGCAGAAGAAGAAGAGAGAAGGAACTGAAAGAGTTGGCTGGGGTGGCGCGCACCCCGTTTCCATTGTCGTCTCTCCAAGTTCTCGGATCTCTACATCTCCGTCGAACGCAGTTGTCCAACTTGCAATTTTCTATTTAACGAACCGTCCCGAGTTCCGATAATGTGTCTGTTTCTTGCGTAAACTGTGTCACGGACGCGACGGACAATTAAAAATCGTTTTTAGAACGCCTGAGTCGGACTCCAGTGCCGCTTAGACAGCCTTGGACCATCCCTTCTTACATTTAATACAATTTTACCAGATAATATAAAGTAAACGTTGAAAGACTTTCGACTTATACTGAAACCTCTAAGAAATCCTTAACACGTTCCGTGCCACGCCATTTTTGCCTGACTTGTCGTTCAGGCCATTTGATATTTTGACTAAAGATCGATATATTATCACTAAATGTAATTATTAATTATTGTATACATAACAATTAAATAAACTTATGTGTTTTGTTCTTTACTGCATCTTGTATAATGCTTCATTTTTTAGGTAGAAATATAGTTTACAGAATTATATTTGTAATAAAATATATGTTTTCAGCGCATTAAATAAATATGACTGCGTGTACCACCGGTGGTACACGTGGCCTGACGATCAAGTTTACCGTGTACCACCGGTGGTACACGT